AAAGAAAAGAAACAAAGCACATAGCCACAAAATCAAGGCTTCATGAAGCCAAAGGCCAAGTGGGATTTTCATTTTTAATCAATGTCCTTGAAGGCCCAAGCCCATCAACAAATGTTTTACCCATGAGCTCTCCTTGGACCGGACTTAGGATGTTGAGATTTCATTTTTTTTTCAAGCTCAAGCAAACAATGAGGAAACCGGACTTGGGCTTTAATTGCTGCAGATAAATTTGCATTGGATAGGCCGTCTGGAGCTTTAAAATTTCCGAAAAAATAAATAAATGAATGGACTTGGATGATTAGCTTCTTGAAGACCGGACCTGCAACAACATTTGTTTTGCTCCGGACTTGGTTTTTAATTTTTAGTGCTGCAGATCAAAGACCGACTTTACTGCCGAAAATCAAATGGAATTGGGCTTGACTCTTTGCTGCAGAATTGAAATCAAATCAAATGGGCTTCTCCAAATTTGGACTTGAGTGCTACTACAAATTGGATTCTTGAAAAAATCAAATAAATCCATAAATGTATATTCATTCGATACGACATTGATGAGTTCGAATATCATCTGTAGGATGAGAAGAACAGGAAAATTATTAGGAGCCGAGACACCATATTCAATGAAGAGGTGATGTACAAGGACAAAGATAATGCCAAGGATAGCCAAAGCAGTGGGAACAACACTAAGGATGCAGGTGGATCCGAGTATATGGATTTAGATGAACTTCCAGATAGGGGAGATAATGTCAGCTCTGACCAAAAAATGAAGGAGACTCCAGGTGCAGAGAGTACCACCCAGGCTCGTGTAGCTTAGGAGGTCATACAGGATACCCAAACCGAATTCTAAATATCTTTCTTTGCTTTTGACAGATAGCAAAGAACTAAAGTGTTATGAGGAGTCAATGCAAGTTAGTGAATCTCAGCAATGGGAGCAAGCGATGTAAGAAGAGATGGATTCTCTCCACTTGAATGAGACATGGGAGTTAGCCCAGCTACCTGCACAAAAGAAAGCCTTACACAACAAGTGGGTCTACCAGGTCAAGCAGGAGAGTGATGGAAGTAAGAGGTATAAGGCTAGATTAGTCATGAAAGGATTCCAACAGTTGCGCTAAATACAACCGCGATTCCTGCGAAAGTGAGTTAGGATTTTCTTTTTATTTTCTTTGCTAGAGGACTAGCAAAAGTTTAGGTGTGGGGGTATTTGATAATTATATTTTATTACAATTTTTATACCCTCATTATCTATTTTATATGAATAAATATACCACTAATAACTGTTTTTATGTTTTATTTCAGGTTAATGAAGAATAAACCTCAAACTCCCGTCTCTCAACAAAAACCCGTTGATTAAATTGGAAAATCAATTTCTAAATTATCCAAAGCCCAAGACAAACACATGAAGAAATCAAGAAGCCCAAAGAGCATCAAGCAAATGATGGCCCAAAGGAAAAGAAAAGAAACAAAGCACATAGCCACAAAATCAAGGCTTCATGAAGCCAAAGGCCAAGTGGGATTTTCATTTTTAATCAATGTCCTTGAAGGCCCAAGCCCATCAACAAATGTTTTACCCATGAGCTCTCCTTGGACCGGACTTAGGATGTTGAGATTTCATTTTTTTTTCAAGCTCAAGCAAACAATGAGGAAACCGGACTTGGGCTTTAATTGCTGCAGATAAATTTGCATTGGATAGGCCGTCTGGAGCTTTAAAATTTCCGAAAAAATAAATAAATGAATGGACTTGGATGATTAGCTTCTTGAAGACCGGACCTGCAACAACATTTGTTGAAGAGCAATTTGAAGGTTTGCATTTCTTTTCTCTTTTATTTCTTTTTAGTAATTTCTTTATTATTGCTTATTAGTTAGATTTAAATTCATGCTTGTAGTATAGATTTACTTTCTTGTCTTTTTTATTTTCTTTTTGCACTTTAATTTGTAGAGTAGATTTATTTTTCTTGCATTTAATTTCTGCAATTTATTTTGTAGTTTAGATTTTTATTTTCTTTGTAATTAGATTTATTTCTTGTTCATAGTTTAGATTTTTCTTTTCTTTTTAATTTTGTAATTAGTCTTCTTTTTCTTGTTTTTATTTCTTAAGATGTGAATTTAATTCTTGTAGGAATCTTAGAATTGTATGAAACTAGTCTAATTTCTTTTATATTGTATGAATTATTCTCTTGTACTTAAAATGTTCATGTTTAGGATAATCAACTAGAGAACTAATCGGTAGAAGAAGAATTTGATAATCTATGCTTATCTTAAATGGTTTGATAGGTTATGCTTATGAATTCTAGGATTATTATCATGTTGTTGTTCTTATCATGAATAGTAATTTTAGCTTAGATGATAATTTGATAGGTTACACTTTCCTTAAATGGTTTGATAATCTATGCTTAATAAATCTAAGTTGAAATATGATAAAAAGAGAATAGTTTATATTTTGTAATTGAAATTGGTTAGTGGATTATATTCTAGATTTCTTACCTCTTTTGAATCCTTCATCTTAACTTTCTTAAATTTTCTTTTCATTTTTTGTTTTATTTCTTGATTTTATTAATTCATATTTCTTGCCTTATGATTTCATTTATTCTTTAATTCTTCCTTCTCTCCTCTAAAATTCAATTTATTACCTCTTGCATATAAATCAAAATAACCACTCATACAATCACACTTATTCTTTATTCCTAATTGTCACGCACAAAATATAAGAACCAAGTTTAATAATCTCTTAAAATCACCTTCTTCGTGGGATCAATATCTTTTTATACTATAACTTGATAAATTGTGCACTTGCAATTTTGGTACATAATTATGTCGCATCAGTAACCTGTTAGCTTCATTGAGGAAGGAAAGAAAGAGATGATGTGTAGGCTCAAGAAGAACTTATACGGTTTGAAACAGACACCAAGATAGTGATATAAGAAGTTTGATAACTTAATGCAAAGCAATAGCTATGGAAGATGCAATTTATATCATTGCTGCTACTTCAAGAGGTTTGAGTTCAGCTATATCGTGTTACTATTGTATGTTGATGACATGTTAGTTGCAGGACTATGTTTAGAGAAGATAAACAAATTGAAGAAGCAATTGGCAAATGAGTTTGCTATGAATGATCGGGGTGTAGCGAAGTAGATTCTTGGGATGCGAATTAGTCGGGATGTGACTGAAGGAACATTGAGGTTGAGTCAGGCTGAATACATCGAGAAGGTACTTCAGAGATTCAACATGGAGAATGTTAAGCCCGTTGGCACGCCCCTTAAAAGTCAGTTCAGGTTATGTGAGGAGCAATTGCCCAAGACAGATGAAGAGAATGAGCACATGAGAAGAGTACCGTATTCATCAGCCATTGGTAGTCTAATATACGCGATGGTTTGTACGAGGCCAGATATCACTCATGTATTAGGAGTTGTGAGCAGGTTTGCAAGCAATCCAGGGAAGCAGTATTGGGAGGCCGTGAATTGATATTGTGCTATTTGAGAGGGACTACAGATATGCCATTATGTTTTGGGAGAAAGGAGTTGGTACTGTAGGGATACATGGATACAGATTTCACTGGTGATCATGATACAAGGCGTAGTACTACAGAGAATGTTTACACCTTAGGGTCGACAACAGTGAGTTGGGTCTCACGTCTGCAGAAACTAGTGACATTGTCCATAATTGAGACAGAGTATGTCGCAGTAATCGAAGTTAGCAAGGAAATAATTTGGTTAACCGGTTGTCTGGAAGAGTTGTGTCTGAAGCAGAGGAATATAGTTCTTTATTGTGATAGCCAGAGTGCTATACACCTTGTCAAAAACCCAGTATATCATGCTAGAATGAAGCACATCGATATACGTTACCATTTCATACGTTCTCTAATAGAGGATGTGAAGTTACTATTAGAAAAGATTTTGGGGAGCCAAAATCCTACAGATATGTTGACTAAGACAGTGACCATTGAGAAATTGGAGTTGTGTGTAACTTCGGTTGGCTTTCATTAGTAGAAGATGAGGACAGAGCCACACTAGGAGAATGATGATTGAAGAAGGGAATTCTTTGGGAAGGAGAATGTGCTTGCTAAGATGACTGAAGTTCAAGAGAGGTTGTTAACGGAGATTTGGTCTTCAAGTGGGAGATTGTTGATTTCGGGTGTGTAGACTCAAACCTTGGAACAAGTAAAAAATTTCTCTAAGTCCTCAGTTCAGGCGAACTTGGCATGCATGCGAACTTACAGTTTAGGCGAACCTGCAGTGAAGGCGAACTTGCAGTTCAGACGAACCTACAGTGAAGGCGAACTTGCAGTTCAGACGAACATGCAGTTCAGGCGAACATGCAGTTCAGGCGAACCTATAAGTCAGGCGAACATAAGTCAGGCAAGCTTCATAGACAGGCGAGCTTCACAGACAGGCGAGCTTCGCAGTCAAAACAGATTCCTAATCTCTTTTGACCTAGGGTTTTCCTATAAATAGGGAACCCTGACAGCCGTTTTTTCATGCGATTTTCTTAAGCGATTTTTTCAGAAAACGCTGTTTTGAACAGAAAGATCTCATGGGGATTGAGATCATCTCTTTGCAAGCTTTTGTAATCTTCTTCAATAATTAAAGAAGTTTTTGCTGTGGCTCCCGAGGACGTAGGCACGTTTGCCGAACCTCGTTAAATCTGGTGTCTTTAATTCTTTTTCTTGCGAGTATTTTTTATTTGCTGTGATTTCTTCTTGCATACTTTTGACACAAGATCCGGAGGGCACGCTGCGTGAGGGTTCATTGACATGTTGTCGATTGGTAAAAATCCTCCCCAACAAGGACAATGAAAGGTTTTGTCCCCCTTCCATCAGAGGCGTTTTGGTCATTTGGAGACATGTGATTTTCACGTGCACGGTCAAAATAACGGTGTTAGTTAGGGTGTTAGTTAGGGAATTATCTGGCAAGGGGCGTTTAAGTGACATTGCTACAATTTACGACAGCTATGTCACAAATGGCCAAACTTAAGGGGGCCGGTAATCTGAAATATATTCTTTAACTCACCACCATCTCGACGAGCCCAAACATGAGAACTGTGTTGAGCCTGGTCATGTATGTGTCTGAAATGAAACCCCCGAGGATTGTAAGCAAGAAAGTTGCTCCAATGAAATTTGTGAGAGTAGTCGATGCATCAGCTGAACCAAAATGCATTACTCCAAGGAAGTATAACACCAAGCTCACCATGTTTGCTATAAATCCAATGTTCTCGAGCCCCGTCATGACTGAGTAAAAGTTTTAAGAGTCAAAGTTAGTCCCAAGTTTATCAGCTAGTCAGGAACGTGACTATTTGCTTTTGTGATCGCTTACCAAATATGAACATGGCAGCTCTATAGCCACCTTTCCTCGGGTGGAAAATTTTCAAGCCCTTTTCAGCAGCCTCCATAGTATCATCCTGCACGAAAAACCTTTTTAGTGATTGGAAAGCAAATAAAGCACACAAATGGAACTTGTTGCAATAGCTATTACCATATCAAAGAGAGAAAGAACTAGAGAGACAGAGAGAGACAGACGCAGGTCAATTTATAAAAAGGGTTTGGAGGCACATTGGTAGGTAAAGCAGAAGTATAAATTTTGCCGGCTGATTGTTCCTAGGTGATTCCAGGTCTTTTGTTCGGAGTGGACTCCAAGGTTGGTTAACTGATCGCTTCATGTCTTTTTTGCCTAGTCAGTGTCAGTCAATAACGAAAATGTAATCTAAAGAATTGTATATAACCAGATATAGCGAAGACAATGAATACGTTTCTTGAATCAAAATGATGGAATGATACTATAGTAATACTACGGGGGAAACCTGAACTATGCTAGCTCCAGTAAGATATTTGCTGTTTCATGCTGATCCTCATTTTTTTAATATCCAACTCATAAGTTTTGGGAAAATCGAGGAGATCAGTGTTTCCAAAGTCTCAATGATACCTTTATTTTATCTTTATTTATTATTATTATTCCAAAGTATGGGCATGTCGCATAATAATTTTGAGGACAATGTAACAGAAATTATATATATAATCTAACCAAGACGGCTTATTGGTTCATAGCTTATGCAGATATCTTCTGAACAAATACAGTGTATATTTTGACTATTAAACCTATTTATAGTAATTACGTGGTCATATGTATAATGAAACTTGAAATCAGATCCACTTGGTATCTGATTATCGAGTACAATTAATTCACCATTTAAACCAAAAACTCAAGCTTGTAGATTGCTGATCCAATGATGCACATCAGCAATCTTAGTAAGGACTGAAACTCTTGAAGGTCCAGTTAATAAGGATTTGGGTTTTCTTCAGCCTACTAAATGTAATTTACCATTTTATCGAAAAAACTCAAGCGCATATATTGCTGATCTAGTGATGTAGATCAGTATAATATCAATAAAGACTGAAACTGTAGAAGATTCGGTTACAAGGATTCTGGATTTATTGAGGCCACTAAATATACTTTACCTGAGGGATACTAAATTTACAAGACACGAGGTTATGTTTGGCATGTATTGTTTCTCCTCTTACCAATCACCACAGACATCCAGAATGAGAAAATAATAAACAGCATGATGAAGATTAGGCAAACTGAGATAAGAGAATCCAGGGAACTCTTTTGCTCAGAATTTCTGGACAGGTAACACTTCCAAATAGCCAAGTACAATGTCTTCAGACAGAGCTCCCACCAATCGGACAGCAATTATTCATGGTTATCACTGATCATGCGTAATCTAACTGGACAGCTACAACATGTTAACCACATTTCATTTCACTTTCCTCGCTTATATGTGTAGTGGGTGTGCATCAAGAGATGGGTACGAGGTGACAACTAATTTTGCTAAATAAGCTACCAAGACTTATAGCAGTGGTGAAAACCGCCATGTTTATTTTGCTAAATGTGCTGGATACTCATATTCATTATAATATGCATGAGACTTTAATACTCCCGAGACATAAGTAGTTTGTTTATGCCCACATGCGAAAATGTGAATAATCTTGATGCATGGGTTAGACTATTTCAATGGATGATCCATTCCTCTCATCATAGATCTACATGGCTTACAACATCTATAAATAAAAAATCTTGATGCTCGAATATTTCTAACCCATGTTTCATTTTTTCTTTTTAGTTGCAATGTTACAAAATGATTAATTTTCACTTGCTGCATTAGTAATTAGAACCCACTTCACTTATTTCTTTGTCGTCGACCATCTGATGCGGAACGGAGATGGTGATGAATAGCGCCCGGATGAACAGTATCCGTAAACAATAACTTTCCTTCTTTTTAATTTTTTTGTGAATGAAAGGCCATATAAAGAAAGATTAAAGGATAAATTAGGATAGACCATATTCACTCATAGCATCTAATCTCCAAAAATGATAGAAAATGCCGGTTTTGCACACGGACGCCTAATTAAAAAGCATAGCTTCACACGTATGGAATTACTCCAAATATCACTCAAACTCATAACTCTTATTCGTATCAATTCTCCATAAAATAAAACGATAGAATTCTTTTTATAGGTAAAAAAATGAAATCATAATCCTAACAACTAGATAACATCAAATAACAAACCTAACAAATAAATTCAAGAAAATAACTGTTATGATGTTTTCAGTCACCAAATTATGATCCATTGTCAATAACACGAAAATATCCCTCATTACGTCCAATTCAGTCAACTCGACCCATGGGACTGTTAGGGTCGTGATCTAGCCGGCTTGCCAAGTTGACATCATCTCGGGTCGACTCGAATGACAATACTTATCGGTCCTCTCATCTAGGATGACTCACCACCTACTCAACTAGTTAATTAGCTAGCATTTCATGGAAACCGACTCGAAAGGTGATACTTCTAGACACCCCTCGAAACAAGCCAAAAAGCAACTTCGACCTCGAATCCCCCACTGATAGCACGTCGACATCACATTAAATGACTTGGCAAACGCCATCATTTCTCCATCCCTAGCACTATTTATAGCACATCAGACCACGCCGGCTTCGTACGCCACCTATCCCATCCCATTAATGCCAAAGTGACTACGTCCATTCCGTGATCACTCCACTATCGACACCTGTAAAGTCAACGCTAACTTAGCCGCCAACTCAGACTCGGCCAAAAGAGACCAAAATATCCCTCCTACATGACTATAAAAAGGAAAATTATTCCAAATACGAAGGTAAGAAATTTTTTTCTTCGTATCTTCTCCATTCCATAGCACTTAAGAATCGAGACAGTTCATCTTTTCCCTAATTAAATATCTTGCTAACTTGATCATCGGAGGAACAATGGGGAAACAGACCCCGCCCTCTTACGAGTTGCTACTTGTGCTGTAGGGAAGAAAAGCTCAACTCAAAACCAGATATTTAAAAAAGTTAGCGGTCCCTAATCAACTCTGATCTATTAGTTTACCTGTGTGATTTAGACTATCAACAGTTTGACACCCACCGTGGGGCCTTCTTTCTTTTTCGAACAAATATGTCTTATTCTGAGCATAGGGCTGACCAATACATCCCTGGAGGACTACACTAGAGCTATGTCACTCAAGCCCAGCTCGAAGAGACGGTCTAAAGGATATCTTAGAGCCTCCAAACAGTAGCTCGCTACCTTCACCAACGAGCTCCTCAGCCGGTTTCCCCAACCGTAGAAAACTACTTTTGCCATTCCTCCGCCCTCCGGAGACTAGCGATCGATGACTCATCGTCATTCTGAAGCTTAGCGTATAGTCCCACCTAAGACTCCTTATGTTGCTGCTAAGCAGTAGAGGGATTGCGTCGAGCACGCAACCCCACCACCACGCCAGTCGACTCACCCAACGGATCCTCGTCGGCACATCCTCCCTAACTCTTAAAGCCACTAGTGAGAGTCCTGACCCCAGTCGCCATAAAGATCACATCATGGGAGGAATGTCTAAGACTCTCCATCATCAGCGTACCTCTCTAGCCCTCTCGGCCACACATGGGGCATCTGGATATGATCGGGTGTACAGACCAATCGCTGAAGCCATCAGGGGGAACACTCCCCTTACCGACGACCTTATGAATGCCCCATTTGAGAAGTTCAAGATGTCTCATGTGGAGAAGTACAATTGAGAAGGAGACCCTGCCGAGCATGTCCAGAACTATTATGATATAATGAGCATGCTCCAAGCGTCAGAAGTTATCATTTGCTGGTGCTTCCCCATTACTTTGTCGGAAAGCGCCAAGCTCTGGTGGAATGCCTTTGAGAAGAAATCCATCAGTAGTTTTTAGTAGCTTAGCCGAAAGCTTATCCACCACTTCTTAGCTGACACCAAACAGAAGCTGCCCCCTCATGTGTTACGACAGATGAGGCAAGAGCCCGAAGAGAGCCTTCGAGCCTACTTCAAGATGATCTAGACGAAGAGGCTGGAGGTCAACAACCCAGGAAGTTCAGTCGCTATGTCCACTCTTGTAGCCGGCTTGTAGAACAATGAACTGGCCGACTCACTGGCCAAGAAGCCGGTTGCCAATTATGAGCAACTGATGGCCAAAGCTCAAGGGTATATGGACATGGAGGATGCCCGAGCTTATAAGACAGTAGCCAGGGCCACAGAAGCATCTACTACCATAATCTCGGTAGCAGCATCACCAGCAGTAACACCAGTACCCTTGACATCTATGGCATCACTGGTGGTGGCGGTACCAGAGTTGGTTAGAGGCCCCCATCAAGGCAGGAGTGACCGAGAGACCCCCTAAGAGTCGACTCCCACTCCAACAGGTCCGATAGAAGGGACCGACGGAGGGAGCCGGCGCCTCGACCTGCTCTCACGGTCCTCAACACCTTTCTCACGGAAGCTCTCAACATGGTCTGAAAGGAGGGGCACCTCAATGAGCCCCTTCACAAAATGAGGTCGGACCCACGGAGCAGAGACACTCGGTAATATTGCCGCTACCACAGAGATCACAACCACCTCACTAATGATTGTCATATCCTAAAGAGAGACATTGAGGACCTGATCCAGAGAGGATACCTGAAGAAGCTAGTCTTGTAGAGAGATAGGAGGGAAGCCGCCCTAGCTAGGAAAAATAGGAGGTCTTGCCCACGCTCCCCTTGTACCCCACTGTAGTAGGATAATCGACCCCCGGAACCAAGCACCACAGAGATCACAACCACCTCACTAATGATTGTCATATCCTAAAGAGAGACATTGAGGACCTGATCCAGAGAGGATACCTGAAGAAGCTAGTCTTGTAGAGAGATAGGAGGGAAGCCGCCCTAGCTAGGAAAAATAGGAGGTCTTGCCCACGCTCCCCTTGTACCCCACTGTAGTAGGATAATCGACCCCCGGAACCAAGCCATAAGGGGGTCATCAACACGATCAGTGGCGGCCCCATAGATGGATGGTTGTCCAACAATACTCAGAAGAGATATGCTAAACGAGCATTACGAGTCAACCTATGTGATAAGAAGTGTGACATCACCACTTTAGTCCCACATGGACTAGTGTGAAGAAATGTTAGTGGCTTAAATAGAGAAGCCCAAGGTCTAAGAACAACTAGCGCTAGCATTTTGGTGGTGAATTTATGCCAATATCGAGTTGCTGTTGGTGGGTCTCACGGCTTGCACGCGCCAACGGGCATGTGTGCCCAGGGCGTGATAAAATAATATCAGTTGTCAGCCAGAAGTGTGGAGCTAAGTACTATATGGGGCTAAGTGCTACATCGTGTGGATTTGGTAGGAGCCACCTCTAGAGTCCACAACGTCTGACAGTGATACTGGGATGTGCCAATTGTCATGTCGTGGTGATGAGGATGTCGTCTTTGTAAGGTGGGATGATTATGACACCCCCACTTTAGTGCCACATGGACTAGTGTGAAGAAATGTTAGTGGCTTAAATAGAGAAGCCCAAGGCACAAGAATAACTAGTGCTAGCATTTTGATGGTGGATTTAAATCAACATCAAGTTGTTCTTGGTGGGTCCCACGGTTTGCATGCGCCAACGGGCTCATGGACCCGGGGCGTGACAAGAAGCTGAGAGAGAGGAGGAACCCATCTCTTTCAGAGACACCGACTTGGAGGGCATTGAGACATCTCATGACGACCCCATCGTCATAATAGCCTGCTTTGACGGCTTCCAGGTGAAGAGGATTATGGTTGACATTGGGAGCTTGGTGGACATCCTGTATATCGACGCCTTCAACGAGATGGGCATCGAAAAATCTCGTCTGCTTCCATGTAGGAGCCCCCTCATCGGATTCACAAGGCACTCTCTCCTACCCAAAGGGATGATCACTCTCCCCTTGATAGGAGAGCACCCCCAGCAATTCACCATTCAAGTCCAATTCCTGGTGATGAACCTCAAGTTGGCCTATAATATCATCTTAGGCCGAACCGACCTCCATCTCTTATGGGTCGTCCCTTCAACCTATCACCGGATGCTGAAGTTCCCCAATCCTAATGGAGTCGGGTTGCTCGGATCAACCAACGAGAGGCCGGGTCATGTTACCTACTCTCGACTAAGGGCAAGGGTGTGTAAGAGACTGCCTATTGAAAAGGCTTTCCTTCAGATAGAGAAAGCTATGGAGCAACAGATGATGACTCTGAAGGAAGAACTCCAAAAGATATTGATTGACCGAGAAGGAAAGAGGACGGTCAAGATCGGATCCAGGCTCACAGAGCCCTTGCGAGGAGCCTTGGTTGAGTTCCTACAGATGAACACTGATGTGTTCGCCTAGGGACCAGAAGATATGCTAGGGATCCACCCTGAAGTGATAAGCCACGAGCTGGCGATCGACTGGCACACTAAGCCAGATCGACAAAAGAAAATGCATTTCAACCCTAAAAGACAAAAGGCGGCCACTGATGAAGTTGACCGGCTCCTTAGAACTAGTTTTATCCAGAAAGTTCAATACCCAGAATGGCTGGCCAATGTGGTATTGATAAAGAAGGTACTCAATAATTGGAGGATGTGTGTGGACTTTAAAGCTTATCCTAAAGATAGACATCCCCTACCTCGGATCGATCAGCTGGTTGATGAGAGCGTGTGGCATGAGCTACTTAGCTTCATGGACGCATTCTCCGGCTACAGGCAAATTTTCATGGAAAAGCATGACCAGGAGAACCTCCTTCATCACCGACCAGGGGACCTATTGCTATAAAATGATGTCATTCAAACTAAAGAATGCTGGGGCCACATACCAGAGGCTTGTTAACAAAATCTTCAAGCCCCAGATCAGATGCAATTTCGAGGCTTATGTGGACAACCTCCTGGTGAAGTCAAAACAAGCATCTACCCACATATCAGATCTAGACGAGACCTTCTCCACTCTTCGGTGCTATTGCATGAAGCTTAATACAGCCAAATGTGGCTTTATGGTGCAATTGGGATAGTTCCTTGGGTTCATGATCACCTAGAGAGACATTAAGATCAGCCCAGAAAAAATAGTGTTGACTACCCGAACGACACACCTTGAAGAATGTCCAAAAGCTGAATGGAAAGATAGCGGCACTGGGTCATTTCATCTCCAAATCTGTCAAGAGGAGCCTCCCATTCTTCAAAACATTAAGGGGAAATAAGAAGCTAAAGGAGAGCATGATTTGGACGGTTGAATGCAGTGCATCTTTTCAAGACCTCAAAGCCTACTTGAGCACCAAACCACTGCTGAGCCAACCCATTGGAGGGGAGACTTTGTACCTATATATGGCCATCTCCCCTAAAGCCGTCAGCTCTGTTCTAATTTGAGAAGAAGTAAACATCTAGAAGCCAGTGTACTATATGAGCCAAATCCTGAAAGCGAGCGAGCTCAACTACCCTCTCATAGAGAAGGTTGCCTTCATCCTCATCATCAACGCAGGGAGACTCCACCCCTACTTCGAAGCCCATTCCATAATTGTGCGAATGAGTCTGGCTCTGAAGAAAGCACTTAGCAGTCCCACCACATTCGAGAGAATGGTCACCTGGGCAATCGAACTCAGCGAGTATGATGTACAGTTCGAGCCAAAAATGATGACAAAGCTCAAGCATTGGTCAACTTCCTCATTGAGACGACCTCATTAGGCGACGAGCCGGACGCATCCTCACCATCAACTCAACAAGGGCCTCCAACACCTCCAGTAGTCCAAGCATCCACCCCACAGACCCATCGTACCCTAGAATATAATTCACCTGAGTTTGCCACTTGGTGGTTGTTGAAGGTGGACAGGTCCTCCAGAGAAGCCGGCAGTGGAGCGGGAGTGGTCATGCATAGCCTAGACAGGTCAACGCATGAACACTCCATCGCTTTTTGTTTCTCAGCCTCGAACAATGAAGCCGAATATGAAGCTCTCCTTTCTAGCCTTCGATCGGCCCGAGCTAATGATGGCCGAGCACCTCTACATATTGGCTGACTCCTAGCTTATCCTCCATCAGGTGAACAGGAAATAGATAGCTAAAGATCCTCCTGTACCTCAAAGCGGCTAAGGAGCTATTAGCTAGCTTCGTGGACTTTAAGATAGCCCAAGTTCCCCGCGCTCTCAATGTCCGAGCAGATGCCCTCTCCAAGCTCAGATCAACAAGCTCAGGGACCAACTCAAGACCCATCTACACTGACACCTTCGAGCATCCTAGCATCTCAAGGCCTCCAGAGATGGTCATGCAAACCGAGATACCCGTGGTGACCTTGTTTGGTGGAAAAATTGTAGTAAATAAAATGAAAGAAATTTGATTTGTATTCTCTCGATCTTAATTACAATTTGAATTCCGATTACAAAAGAGAGGAGAATTGATCTGAATTCTTTCATTTGTTTAATACTGGATTCTTCACGGTAGCGATGAGATGCCTCCCTAAAATGCTCGCGTCAAGTTTGCTTCTCGTTGACGATCCGAACGTTTTGTTTTACTGCAATGGTATCTTCTCCTCACAATTTGACACTGTGGAGGACTTGCGTGGCAAGTTTGAAATTCTGAACGAATCGATAACTCAGAGCGAGTTTAAACTCTTGTAGAAGAGTTGATTGATCTTAACCGTAATTGGTTAGACAAGCCAAGCACGAAGATAGACCCAAGAA